CTTCTGATTTGGAACTGTGCTTCATGTTGGAATGGGACTTTAAGGAAGCTCTGTTTGCACTCTGTGTTTCAGACTGAACTGACTTGTAAAGTACTTTCTGGGAGCTTGGCAGATCCTTCCCATAATCTGTCGTGTTTCTGCATGTCCTGTGTTTCTGCATTAAAGGTGTATCTCCCTTGAGTGCCTGGAAAGCTGTTTGCCCCAGGAAAAACGCTGTGATTTACTGAGGAGTGGCAGGACTCTGAATTAGCTGTTTCCAGGGCAGAAGCAATAGATTGGGAAGCTAGTGGAGGCTGTGTTAACAGCAGTCATCTTATGGCTGAGACCTGACAAGACAGCTTTGTGTTTGGCATCTCCCCAGGCCTGGCTCGTTGACCTGTTGCTCCTGCTGGGCTCTGCCACAAGATACCCATTCAGGTCTCAGGTCTTTCCTCCCTTTTCTGGTGCCCTGGAGTTGTGTACGTGGCCTCCTTGTGTGTGTGAGGTGACGCAGCACTGGCTAAATGTTGGTGGAGCGTGCAAGTCCTAATACTTGAGCTAACAGTTTGTTGTTGTCAGATCTGCTCCTGGCTGCACAGCTCCCCCAACCAGCTGGGCCAGCTGAGCGGCCAGGGTGGCACTGGAGGGAAGGGACAGGAACCTCTATCTGCACAGAGCCTGCCTGTGTGCCCAGCTTGGTCCTGCTCCAAGGTGATGTTGTGAAGGAAGAGAAGTCCTGTGTGTAGCTGAGAGTCTTGCTGTTTTCCTTAAGAATCTGAGGAGTTGTGAAATGAAGGCTAGGGCTGCTCTGACCTGTGGTTGACAGCACGAGAGGGAAAGAAACAAGCCCTGGAGGGAATGTCCTCAGTCCTCCCTCCTGTCCCAGCCTGTTTGCTTTCTTAGGCTACTCAAAGGAATGTAGTGCAGCACCCAGGCAGGTGCACAGTGAGGTCTGTGCCCTCCAGGTGTGCACATGCCTTGAAATACCTGAGCCTACCTGAGCCTGCTGCAGCCACAGTCTGTTCCAGCTCCTGGCTCTGCAGGGAGTACTTGGGAATCTGCTCCAGTGCCCCACTCTCTGTACAAACATGTGGGGCAGGCAGCACTCACCCATTCAGACAAAAACACCTGCTGCTCAAGTGCTGGGTTTGTACAAGGCTAAACCTATTTAAAGAATTGGCTATAATAGAAACTTGTGTGTGTGGGTTTTTTTCTTCCAGGCATGGAATTAAAAACAGTGCCCTTTTTTTTGTGACACACTCAGCTCCTTGTCAGTCAGCTTGTCTCTTGAGAGTCTGCGCGGCAAACCAGAGATTTGCAGCTTGAAACATCCACAGCCATTGACTGGTTGCTGCTGCCACCCTGGGTACTGGTTTTCACACCAAGGCACAGGCGGAGACCTCAGAAGTTGTACCTCAGCGACTGGTTGTACTGGGGTGTTCCACTGGAAGTGATTTATTTTTAAAGAGGAATTTATCCACATGTTGGTTACCTCTAGTAACACAAAAGACTGCTGAAGTGGCCCAGTCTAGGTTATTTCCTCTTATGTTACTTAATATCCCAACCTTTTCAGGATCCCATAAAGTGTCTTTCCGTGTTGGGTACCAGCAGTGAGGGTTGGATTTGGTGTTGGAGCACTAATACAGCAGGGTGGGGAGGAGCTGCATGGGTCAGCATCAGGTTTTCCCTAACCCACACCAGGACCCTGCCCATCCACATGCAGCCACTTGTGATGGTAAATTAGAGAGAAGTTGGATACAACTCAACCACAAAGGGAGTTTTTAATCTCGTAAACAGCCAGGGCTTCTGTGGAGCTTATTGGAACCTGTGGAGTTTGGCAAGAGCATGAAATCCTAAAATGAATAAATAATTTAATTGGGCAGTAATCACTAGCCAGAATGTTGCATCCAGAGCAAAAGCAATGTACCAGTCAGCTGAAAGAAGAGGAGGGAGGAGGCAAGATTTTGGTGGGGGAGGAGGGAAGGTTCTTACATGACTCCTTTCCTCTTGCAGCACACTTACCTTTGATCCTGTGGTGTAAAGCACTTGGGTTGTTCTTCTTCCTTCCCTTCTGCAAAAGACAATTTGAAGGTTGTGTGTCTTGGCAGAGGATTCCTTTCCCAAGTGTTTGTATTTGGGGAGTTCTGTTTTAACCCTTGGAATGTTTCATCTCTGCAACAGTGTCCTCTTCAAAGCCCCACTGTATGGAAACCAGCATTTGTTCTGCAGGAAGGCTGTGGGAATGCTTTGCTGTGCCAGGGGAGCTGCTGCTTGCATTAGGCTCTTTTTTTGCCTTCCCCTGAACACTTCTCTGAGCTGTTTTTCTGGTACTAATATTTAAGCACAAACTGGAGGCAGAGTGAGCTAAAGAGTTGTAGCAGAAATATGGGCGGGGAATGCATTCAGCTTTTGGCCAGTGCCATTAGATGACAAGTTAACTTTCCAGGGGAATTATTGTGAAGTTGTCTAATGCAGTAAGAGATTGGCTGCAAACTCTGTCTGCACAGAGATGCAGAGAATACCTGAGCTGTGTGCTGCTGATGTAGCTTCTACCAGCTGCCTTGGGTGCAGGCAGGCGCTTGCATTGCTTAATTTCAGTGATTGTGGGGTATATTAATCCTTTCCCTTGAGTTCATGCCCAGCGCTCCTGACTTTGTTTCCTTGTCTTCCCCAAATCTTTCACTTTTCTCATTGCTCTCTTTAATTTAGCTCCAAAGCCTTTTGAGCTCACCCCCTGTCATTGGTGCTCTGTAAGGCTGCTCTGGCTGTCATAGAATCATGGAACCATCAAAGCTGGAAAAGAACCTCAGTATCATGAGGTCCAGCCCTCAGCCCTACACGCCTATGACCACTAAACCTCAGCACCAGGTACACCTGTTCTGAACACCTCCAGGGATGGTGCCTCCACACCTCCCTGGGCAGCCCATTCCAAGGCCTCACAAATTGTTCCTAATATCCAATCTGAACCTCCCCTGGTGCAACTTGAGCCCATTTCCTCTTGTCCCATCACTGGTCACCAGAGAAAAGAGGCCAACACCCACCTCATTGCAACCTCCTCTCATTCAGTTGTAGAGAGCAATGAGGTCTCCCCTCAACCTCCTGCTCTCCAGGCTGAACAGCCCCAGCTGCCTCAGCATCTCCTCTTAAGACCTGTTCTCCAGACCCCTCATCAGCCTGGTTGCCCTTCTCTGCCCCCTCTCCAGCACCTCCATGTCCTTCCTATCCTGCAGTCCCCAAACCTGCACACCTGCAGCCTCACCAAGGACAGGGGCAGGATCACCCCCCTGCTCCTGCAGGTCTCACTATTCCTGATGCAGGCCAGGATGCTGTTGGCCTTCTTGGCCACCTGGGCACACTGCTGGCTCATGTTCTGTCATGTCCTGGGCAACCAGGGTTTCCTGCACAGCTCTGCCATAAGGTTACTGTCGCAACCTGAAGGAGCTCCACCCTCAGCTTGGTGCCATCAGGAGTTTTGTTTGCTAGTGCTGCTTTCAGTTTATAAAACTTTTTGTAGAGTTTAATTTCCTCTTTCCAACTGTAAGTATATTCATAAGTATCTCTTTTATCTTAACACCCACTTTTTTTCCCAGTTGAAAACACTATTGATGATTTATCTGGAAGGAAATGTGTAACTTATTTTTTTATTATTATTATTTTTATTTTTTGTTTTGTTTTATAAAGTGTCTGCAGTTTGGTTTCTATTTCACTTTGTTTTACTTGAGCACTGGACTGGACCAGCAGGGCACACACTATTCCAGACAGGGTGGTCTTGGTACTTGAGGATCTTCAGGGGTGTCTCACCTGTGCTGTGCTGGAGTTGCCTTTGCCTGTCTCTGTCCCACTGACAGGTGATCTTCACAGAATCACAGAGTGTTTGGGGTTGGAAGGGACCTCTGGAGATCATCGAGTCCAACCCCCCTGCCAGAGCAGGACCAAAACCAGGGCAGGTCACTCAGAAAGGCATCCAGACAGGGCTGGAAAGGCTCCAGAGAAGGAGACTCCACAGCCTCTCTGGGCAGCCTGTCCCAGGGCTCTGTCACCCTCACAGGAAAGAAGTTCTTCCTCATGCTCAGGTGGAACTTCCTGGGCTCCAGTTTGGATCCATTGCCCCTCTTGTTCTAGGACTGACTGGTATTCCCAGGTTGTTTTCGGTCCTGTTGCTGCTTCTACCTGGTGACTTCATTTCACACCAGAAGCTGTCCCAGGTTCCATCCCAGGCTGTGCTGGGGTACAGAAGCCATGTCCACATCTAATCATGAGGTGTACTTGGATTTTTAACATAGTGTGTCCAGACGTACCTGATTTGCAGTAACCAGATTAGGGGTTTGGACTGGCAGCCTTTGGACTGTTTCTGTCATTGTGTGTAATGTGATTAGAGGGGAAAATGTGACAGTGTGAAGCTCATGGAAATGAAGCTGGATTGCCTGTGGCTGTTGCAGACCTTTGCCTGGTAACAGGCCTTGTACCCCCTAACGTAATTTCTTTGTTAAACATGTTCCCAATAAAATGCATAACTGTCAATTAAGAGAAATATTGTCATCTAATCCTTTAGTAGATGCAATTAAAAGTGGGGCTTGAGATATTTTAGCGTTTTGCATGACTGCAATGGAGAAGAGGCTTGGGTTTTTTCCTCTTACAGATAAGAAATGTTCCTTTATGCTGAGCACTCGTCCCCATGTGCCACCTCAATCAGATTAGGCTGCCTTTCTGCCAGGAATGTTTAGGATGGGGCAGCAATACAATGATGTAAAGCTCAGAGAGACACACCTCCTTTAAATTGTCGGCTCACTTTGGTGTTACCTCTGTAGTCAGAGTGCAGGACCACGAGGATGCTCCACAAGTTTATCCAAAGGCAGTGGTGCTCAGGGGCTTAAGAGCATTTTATTTTCTCTTGCAGTAGCAGCACATAAACCATCTTCTGTTTAGAAAACTGCTTCTTAGTATTTTTTCATTTGTTTGTTTTTCAGGGTCCCACTTTTCTACGTGCCTTTTGGAATATCTCTGTAGTAAAGATGTCTCAGATGGCTCATGATCACCCCATGAACAGCTCCATGTTGCAACCCACACATCCTCCTGAACATCACCATTTAACAGCAGCCCCGGGACATGGACACGGAGGATCTGACATGATGATGATGGTAAGTGGAAAAGTCATAATTAACCAGAGAGCTTTTCCTTGTCTGTGGTTCAGAATAACTTGTCATCTTAAAGACTATTCTCTTGAGAATGAGAGCTTAGCCTTGGAAGGCATGAATCAATCCAGTTAAAACCTAGACCATGTTGTGGCTCTCCTGGGGTGAGGGAGCGACATGAGGTGATAGGCAACATGAAATGTATTTCAGAGCTGGAGAACCTGTAGCAAAATCTTACAAGCAGCCAGGCTGGTGTCTGTTCTCTAGCCCGCTAAAGGCAGCAATGCAAAGTAAGCATTTTCCTGCAGGAGATGGATGGGGTTCTCCAGGATTGTTAGTGTTGGATAAAGCCTTAACCAGCACCAAAAAGGGTTGTGAACTGTTATGATGGATTGTGCTGACCTGCAGGTGACCAACCCCTTTGCCTTTTTCCTCCTGGTCTTCAAGTACACACTTGGTTTGGGCAACAAAGTGCTACCAGGGCTCTTTGCCACGTTGGCAGTAGTTGGTCCTGAATCTTGCTGCTTGAGTTAGCTTTGATTTAATCACACAAGTTCAGACTTGTCCATGCTGGCATCACTGAAGTTTGTAGCGATCCTGGCCAGAGTTTCCATGGAGATGACTCTAGGATCTGTGTCACTGTGTGTAGCCAGTTCTAGGGACTTCTTCAGCTTCTTCTCTCTTCTCTAAATACTGTTGGAGTGAGTTTCAGATTATTAAAACATGACTCTTGATGGTTAAAGTTTAAAAGGAAGGGAGAGGGAGTGCACTTCCGTTTCAGATGAGAATATACTCAGGAGTGTATTTTATAAGCCTTGAGGTAAAATTTGCCTGCCAGCCACATGGCCCAAAGAAGGAATCAAGAATTACTGCATCTGCTTAGATGGCAAACAGTATCATAGCAGGAGAGGAGAGGACATGAGCAGCCTTCCCCTTTCTGAACAAAACCCAGTAGTTCTGGTGAAACTTGAAGTCCAGCATTGTCACTGATGTCCTACTGAAGCTCGTCATATAATCTAACTGCTGAATATTGGCATTCTCTGATCTGTTACCTTCCATATAAATGCCATTTCTTTCAAGTATCAGGAGCTCAGTGGATAGTTACAGGACCCTGCCTTGCCCTGCAACTGAAAACTGTGATGAATTGCAGAAGATTTTGGATTAACCTTGCACATAAAACTGTCAGGAAAGGTAGCGAATAGGAAGAGCATCTCATGGCATAGACTGAACACATTTTCATGTGTGCATGTTCCCTTCCCTCACTTGCACCAGGTAACAGGCTCTGTTCCACCTGTGGTTCATGGAACTGGGCTGTAAAACTCTTTGGTTTGTGCAGGTTTTGTTTTAGATGTAAAAATGTTAAATTCATTAAAGAAATGGAAGTACTCTCTAAAAGATGTTTTATAGTAATTGCTGTTCTGGGGCTAATGAATGTCAGCTGGTTCTGATGGATGCTGAAATTAATAATAATTGTGATCTTCAGCAAATAACCTTAATTAAGCAATGAAGGGAGTTCAAAAAGAAGTTCCTCTAGCTCAGTGAGTACCTTACATGTGAAGACACTGTACACAGCTGTGGTCAGGGTATGCTAAACTACAATGTATTTGTCTGGATGGGAATATTATCTGAACTCCAGCTGGCTGGAGCATCACTGGTGTCTCCCCTTCCCACAGCATTGACTCTGCAGGCTCAGGAGTCCTTATCTTTACCTACAGGAACCTGTGGTCCTGGTTTATATATAATAGTCCTTGTACCTGTAAGCGAGCTTCTACTTCCCAGAGGACATTAGGAGGTTCTGCAGGGAGACAGTAGTAGACTGGTACAGTGTGGGGTGGGACTAGAGGGTTCACCTTGACAAGCCTTTGTCCATGTGAGCTTAAATCAGGTCCAGGTGGGGAGGAGAAAAGGACCTGTACCCCAGACTGTGAGTAGACAGGCAGAGGCAAGGATGAGCTCCACAGAAGTAACCTAAATCCCCAACTGCTTCTGATGCTCCAAAAGGAGAAAAGGAGCTCCAAAAGGAAGGAGAAAGCACTTTTCTGTAGCAGGTGCTGTGCAGAAGTCCAGAGGAGGCCACGAAGATGATCCAAGGGCTGGAGCAGCTCTGCTCTGGGGACAGGCTGGGAGAGTTGGGGTGTTCAGCCTGGAGAAGAGAAGGCTCCAGGGAGACCTTAGAGCAGCTTCCAGTGCCTGAAGGGGCTCCAGGAAAGCTGGGGAGGGACTTGGGACAAGGGCAGGGAGGGAGAGGATGAGAGGGAATGGATTAAAACTTTAAAAGCAGAGATTTAGGTGAGACATTAGGAGGAAATGAGAAAGAGAAACTACAGGGGTGGTGAGACTCTGGCCCAGGCTGCCCAGAGAAGCTGTGGCTGCCCCATCCCTGGCAGTGTTGAAGGGCAGGTTGGATGGGGCTTGGAGCAACCTGGTCTGGTGGGAGGTGTCCCTGCCCATGCAGAGGGGTTGGAACAATATGATCTATAAGGTCCCTTCCAACCCAAACCATTCCATGACTCTATGATACTAAAACCACACAGTCCCTTCTGCTCTTTTTGGACCTGAACCAAAAATGTACCTCCCCTCCCCCTGCATTTCCCCCCGACACACCTTTCCTTCCACTGGAACATAACCCCAAATAAGATGTTGGCCTGACATGAAAGCAAAATGTATAAATATTTTTAAAAAGAGAAGAATTCCTGCCTCTCTAACAGTTTGCTCCAACTAATAGGTTTCAGATGTCTCACATACTTCATTCATTCAGCCCCATTCAGTCTCCTAGGAGCCCCTGCTGTATTTATTAAACACAGCAATTGTGGAATGTTCAGCACTTACAGAATAAAACACACCAGTTATAGGGTTTTTTTCTTCGCCCCCCCCCCCAC